GCGCTGATTTCCGCACAATGGAAAGCTGAAAGCGTCGGAACAAAGTGATTATCGGCTTGGGATAATAATCCGTCACTAAAAAGTAACAATAACCGGATATCACACAAACGGTAAATTATTTTAACCGAAATGTCTAAGTAAATGAAAAATGCCCAATGCCACTTTGGAAACTAATTCCGGTAAGCGAAAAAGCTGTTTTTCAATAAATTCATCCACTGGTCAACTGTCAAACCGACATCAGTTTATCATTTTATGCCCAGTCGGGGGTGTTGGTTATCCAAAATTTGGATCCCCTCTCCTATGCAAACAAAAACAGTTCCTTCGGGTCTTAGCTTTCTCATGGTCTTGGACGAAGAAATGCAACNCCGGGGTATGCATCAATGACCTAATCGAGATGAGAATCAGGTAAATAATCTTAACATACATTTTGTACTTAGTTTGATGCGGTCAAAATCAGATCGACAAACCCAAATAGTTGTAGTGACCATTTGACGAATTTATTGAAAAACAGCATGTTTCACCTGCTGAACAGTCTAAGTTGTCATCTGCTTGTTTAAATGATAGCACTTTTCTGGATCTTATTTATATTCATTGATTGTTTCAATGTTAGGTTTTATGGGACTGATCTGGGAGAATTATGCCTTTCAAAGTTGAATGTTCAAAGGTTTATTGTGGGTGATTTAACAAAGCTAGTACTTAGGATTTTTTACAGAATGTTTCAGACAAATTTATCAATAGAAAATAATAGCAATATGCATGATCACTCACATAGATGTTGAAATGTCAAGTGTTCCAATGCTTTATTAAGCTGCGATTTGACTAATTTAACTGTAGGAGCACACAAAAAATGGGATGGTAGAGAATTCCATACGCCGCCCACTCGGACTGCAAACGAGTGATGCTGGCAATCTAGCTGACTGTTCTCAACATACAGAACGCTCTCGTGGCTCGTTCGTTACTGGACAGCGTTGTAGTTAAAGTGCTTTGTAGCCCATTTTAGCCCATTTACAGCTCATTTATCATATTTGAGCAACCATGTGCCTGCGCTAAATCTTACTCATGTGACCCATATTTGGACTCGGACACACACGCCGTCAGATGGGCTGCCTCATCATTACGAGGAAGTTTCCAAGGCATTGGTTGGGTGAAGAAGTTCTAAGTGAGGGTATACATATATATATCTATTTGTGATTGTGTTACTTGAGAGTGTGATTTTGGCCTGAAGTCCTCGTAAACAGCAAGCAACTGTTTGCACTGACTAATAAGTTGAGTGTTAGGCAGGTTGTCAACTGGTTTATTTGTGTTTGCTCACACGAACAGACCAACTAGGTTCTGAACTCTCACTGATTAAGCATGATTCACAGGATACTATGGGGCTTGTTTGAGATCGTTTTAGTTCGATCCATCCACCCAATACCTCTGCACTTTGTTTACCTCTTTCGGTTACTTTCTTTCAGATGGCGATTAAGTCGAACAAAGATGAAAGAGTAAACGAAAGTAGTGGCAAGCCATGGGTAGTGGTAAGATGAACGTTGGGGATTCAAACAAAGTAGATTTACGGGTTAACTGAGTAGATTCGAGAGCGCTTTGATTACGGCATCTATTAATACTATTCATTGTCTCTACTCATCAACTGTCGGCTGCTTCTAATGTCCCAAGATATATATATATGCATCATCTTTTCATACCATCATTTGATTATTCTTCAGATTTTATCTTCATTCACAATCCCCATTTCACTCAATCAACCACTACATCTTTTCCCATCAAAACCCGCAATGCTTTAGCCACGACCTTTGGTCCTTTAGCCACAACGCACAAACATTAGTCATATTGTGATGGAAGGCAGTTCAAAGAGAGTCCTGGCTAGCGACCGAAGCAAGAATGGGGCCCATCCGACCAGACGCACAGACGCAGCGGCGGGAAGTGCCTCGCGAGACAATGTTGACTGCCACCCGAAAAGGGTGAATCGACAATTACAGCCCGAAAGACAATCCGCAGCTAACGGGAAAGATACCCACCGAATGCCACAACGTCGGAGCTGTCGATCAACGCATCTCGGGTCAAACCAGTCGGAATGGCACGCGGAAGAAGAGGCAACGTACGTGCCAAGTGCGGACCAAGACCAACAACGAATGATCCACAGAAAGAGGCATGAATCATCCCGCCGCGCGGTTCAGAATTGACTGTATATAATCGAACGCAGACACTGTTTGTTTTTGAATTGGATCAATAGACGTTTTCCCAGCCAGCTCGCCTTCTCGTTACGATATGTTGTAGACAAGTCGGATCAATATGTATCTGAATAATCAACGCCTCATTATTATTATTAGTTTAATAACGTTCCAACATTTGATATACGACAGTCGAGGCTCGCGAATTACGGGTTTTGACTAAACCTTGATGAGAAAAGGTGTGGACTCAGATTGCTCTGATTATATGTAAATACATACATATACACTCTACTTAGAATTCATCAATAGTGCATATTAATCGTCCCATACGAACTTTGAACTTCAGACCCATCGCACTGAAGGCGTTCGTGTAACCCCTGTCCCAACCAACTCAAACTAGGGCTAACCGCAATTGCTAATTCATGGTTGTTCGGGTTTCATCTTCATCAGCAGTCAGTCAGTCAGTTAATTGAGGAAAACACGCTGGGATAATCAATAGTATAGTTCCATGATTACTTTGTGGTTTAGGTGGATCTACCCCCTGTAAATTCAGTTTCAGTTTCTGGAATCCTTAACCGTGCATTTTCATACTTCTATTGTAGTTGCTGTAAACTCGTTTCTAGGTTGCATTTTTACTGGAATTTATCAGCAGTACATGAGTTACTGAAAAAACACGTTCAATCAAAAATTAAAATATATTTAAATGTAATTGAAGTCCTGTATGCAAGTGTAATACTAAGTGATCTGGGAAAGTAAAAGATTCGCCAGACATGAAGGGTTAGTTTCTGGTGCTACGTATCTCCACAAGTTCTGCATTGGCTAATGAGTTCGCTGTGTGGTGCCTTGATTCAAGAGTCTAATCCGGTTAACAGCTCGAAAACTATCACTGCAAAACCTTCACAAAGCTAAATTTTGCTACATAAAGGAATCGGTTTAGCACCCAACCTTACTCACCCTAGAGTTACAGAGCAAATAGACAAATTTTGCTATACGAGTAGCTGTATCTCATCCGGTGGTCGCATCAGGGATAAAGTGTTGGCTCGCATACAGAAAGCTCGATTGGCGTTTGCCAACTTGAGACAGCTGTGATGCCATAGCGACTGTCTGTTAATGGTCGAGGATAAAGTCAGACTTTTGGTGTTCGAACACCACTGTCTGCGTGGCACGAGTCTATTAGGGTCTATTATGGAAACCAGACAAGCAATGCTGAGGTTAAACTTTTAGGATGGGGACCTCAGGATCATTGTAATCAATGGTTCAGAGACACTGAGTGATATGACTAAGTGTTGTAAACAGTGGCTCTCGGACATCTTCTCAATTTATTTACGAACCTAGTCTTCATGAATTCTCTTTTTTCACGCGCACTGATTTGAACATTCAAGCTCCCCTTTCATTGAAATGGGCGGTCCAGAGATAGCAACCAAGATCGGTCCACAAAAGTGCATGGTGAACGGTTTTGAATACTGAACTTACACTGTGATCAGCAAAAGAATGAACTCACTTTGGAGTCAACATAAACTCTCATGATTCATTTTCCATTTTGCCAAACATTCGTACTCTAAACTATGTAACTATGCGATATAGGGCTGGCTGATAAAGCGCCAGAAATCAACTACTTTACCATTTTGTTTTCACCAACACCGTATTTTTCAGTACTGGTAACAAAAAGATGATCAAATATCAAACAGTTAAATCGAACGCCAACATAATTGGTACCCACAAAATAAACTGAATGATTCCGAATTTGTCGCGAATAAAAGATACAATAGTGCATTATCCTAAGCAAGCAATTTCATTTTTCATTTTTACTTCCTTTTACCGAACATACACAAATACTATCTTCGCGAAAGGAGAAGTTTCCAATCAATGGTCTGCCATGTGTAGCGTAGCGAGGCAGAACGAACCAATCACCAATAACTAAACTCATCCTTCTGATTGCCTGTCAGATGGTTCAGGATTAATCTGGCCGGAACCCATGAATCAAGAACATTGTGAGGTTAAAGACAATCAGAAACGAGAAACACTATTGAATTTATCGATTTTCGTTACTTTTTGATACTATCCCGCGCGAGTGATGTCGAATCCCCCGTAAAATCCTTACAGAATTAAACCGTGTACTTTTAACATACAGTTCCGTGGCTCTGTTTGTGCTTTGGGTCTATCTGACAACATTGACTGAGTTAACGACTCAGCGTTTCTCGTTTCAGATAGTTCAGAACAAGAATTGAAACTCTCATCGATCGATGATGAACACGAGCTCATTACGCATAAAACACATAATGGAGAAAGTCAAAACAATAGAGGAAACTGACAATAAAGTTTCGTTACGTTATTCCTATTATAACGAAGGATAAAAGCATCCTAGATATGAATTAACAGGAGTATGTAACTCACGATTGTCTTTCGTTTTATTGATTTGTTGAATTGCAGTTTTATTCTAGCATAGATAGTTTGGCGGCATGGGATTTTTTCACGTTTCAGTTCACGCCATTTTGCATACCTTAGGTGATAGACTGAACAGTGAGCTTGTTCATTCTGTTGTCTATTCCGATCGGATGAAGAAAACGCTCTGACTAATGAACTTTGTGATGCAATCTGAGTTGAGTCCATTTTAAATCTGTTGATCCAAAATTTGTTCGCATATATTTTCATCAAGCTGATCGGAAACGTATGGTAACCTCTTCAATCAGTTTCGCATTTTGATTGTTGTCTGAGAAAGAGAAATTGTTTTTTTTTGTTATTTCATCATTCCACGGATAATTGGTAGTGTTATCTGATACATACTTAATCGCATTTAATACACCGTCTTGCAAAAATATTTCGAGTTGAAGTTTATTTTAAAGAAGATCGCAAACTTCCACTTCTCTTTGGAACAGGAGAAACAAATCATTATCCACGCCGTGCCATAATCAGTGCGCGTGACACAACTGGTTCAGCGGCCGCGGTCGATTTTAACCTGACCGGAGGTCTTTTGAAATCACCTCCGATCGATAGTACCACAGTCAGACGCATTTATATCATCTGTTTATCCAAGTGCCGAATTATTTGCATGACTTAGCAAACAGCAAATCGTTGGACACGGTTTAGAGTTCTGATGTGCATGTCTTGTCTACTTAGTCCACAACCTGTCTAGCAGTAATCGTCCAAGACGAAGCACAGTGGCGAACGAGCAACCGCCGGATAGAAAAACCATCTTGGAACAGCGCAATGTGTTCGGTGGTTCGCCAGACCCCGGCCTGAGCGAGAATGCATGCTTGTCTGAACCGGTCGGTTGGTCTGTCGATTCAGTCAAACCTACCGAGGCATCAGACCCCACTCGGAATGCTCAGTGTGACATGTATATCACAACTGAGCATCCCAAGGCTTGCCGTCCGCTCGGTTATGAGTCCTGTGGCAGACAGCGTTGGTTCGGACGTCGAAAAGATCGAATGGGATTTCGATCCACCTTATTTCGACGTCTACCACGAAGTCCACCACCTCCAGCACCCCTGCCATCGTTCCTGGTACCACCGGAGGGTGAATTGGAAGAGTCAGTCGATTTGTCCCCGAAGAAATCCGATCCAGATCAGGGTGAGAAAACTATCCACGACGATCGTGAACCAGACGCCCTTGTTCGACCATTTACCCCGGCAGATTGTAATGCAAATAATGCGACCAAACTGACTAATGATGAAGTGAACCAGATCAGCAATTTCATCGAACGTCTATGGCAAACACGTGAGAAAGGTGGTAAAAACAATATGCTAACGGAAGAAGAAATGATTGGGATATGTACAAAAGTTCGACCGATATTTTTATCTCAACCGAATCAGCTGGATTTGCAAGGTCCACTGAAAATATGTGGCGATATTCATGGACAATATAGTGATCTACTTCATCTATTCGAATTGTGCGGTAAACCAGACAAAATTAACTATCTGTTTCTCGGAGACTATGTGGATCGGGGTAGACATAGTTTGGAAACAATAGCATTATTATTATGCTATAAACTGAAATATCCATGTCGTTTTTTTCTTCTACGAGGCAATCATGAAACCCAATCGGTTACACGGATCTATGGATTTTTTGACGAATGCAAAAGACGATTCACTGTCAAGCTGTGGCGTCAATTTATCGACACCTTCAACTGTTTGCCTGTATGCGCGATTATTGAGAATCAAATATTTTGCTGTCATGGTGGTCTATCCCCAGACATGCTTACCCCAGAAGTCACGGACTTATTTGAATTGAAACAAAAGATTCGAAAAATTCAACGTCCTTGTGATGTGCCGGAGAATGGGTTGTTATGCGACTTGCTTTGGTCCGATCCGTGGTACATTGATTATTCGGAAAAAGCGGCCGAACCGACTGGATGGGAGGCCAGTGAACGAGGCGTCTCGTACATGTTCGGTCCGAATGTGATTGATCAATTCTTGGAAAGATTCAATCTGGACCTGATTGTACGAGCGCATCAGGTTGTGGAAGATGGATATGAGTTCTACGCGAATCGCTCTCTCGTGACCGTGTTCTCAGCGCCGAACTATTGCGGTGAGTTTGATAATGCGGCTGCGGTGTTTTGTCTCTCACGACTGACCGGGAATTTGGACAGTTTACAACCGACACATTCCAATCTGATCACGGATGATGAGGCGATGACACAAGAGGAAGCCGATTTGGAAGGCAGTTTTCAAATTATACGTTCTGTGGCTCCGAAAAAATAGAGTTGATTGGGATTGGAACGCATAAAAAAAAAAACAGAACCGAATATGATCCCAATCCTACTCATATCCCCAAAACTGACTCAAACGTTATTCGGACCTGTTCAGTTCAGGACTATAACACAATTGGGACCGTGTAAAATCGGTAGTCTGTTTATTTTCTTTTGTCTTCTGTTCATCCAGTACACCAATTTCATTATCTTTTTAATCACCTCATCCAGATTAGATCCCAGGTATTAACTGATTCCTTGGAACTGGTTGCTCGTATATTGTCCCACCACCATCATTATCCTCATCCTCATCATCATATATCTGATGGGTAAGCTGTTTTCCGACCGCAGTACAGTCCATAGGTCAGTGTAATTGGCAGGTTACAATTGTGCGGGGAATGTGAACTGACTTAGTTGGTCATTTTTCCTCTCCTAGTTGAATGAGATCGGCATCGGGTGATGTGTTTCCCGTCTGGGATAACGTTTATTGTTTTGAGTTGAATGCATTATGAAACCACAACTAATGTGTCCCAAATGAAATGGGAAATTAGAAACCCAACTGGTGTGATCTCTTCTGATTTAAACGTACGAAGCAGAATGGACCATGATTTGAGGTAATATTTGTAAGATGTTTTGAAAATACGTGCAATACTTTATTTTATACACGGTCTGACGCATTTAGAAACTACTAGAATGACTAATTGACGGTGATGCAACGAAAGCTTTTTAAGTTTACACACGTTTNGTTTGCTTACAAAACAATGCCAACATACTGCTATTTAGGTGCACAGAATAACAGATGCATTGATTTCTGTATTTACTATTGTTCTAAGTAACAAATCATTAATACTGATTGTGTATATCTTTCCAAATTTAATCTTACAAAAATTTCTTACTCGAGAAGTATTCAATCATATTTGCTGTATTAATCGGCCACATAATTTTGGCACACTCGTGGTCTTCTATGCAGTAAATGTTGTCTATATAGCATTTAAACAGTCAAAACACTGTCTAGTTTGCTCGAGTGGATCACATTTTAGTTGACCTACAGATGATTTCTAAACAATAGCGTCCTTTTAACAAACGGAAACCCGTTGAAGAATCGAATGCTAACTATGCATTATAGAATCTGTTCACCAAGACATTATTAGGCAACAGGGTTGCATACTCTCTTGGAAGTGAGATATTTGTGCTGTAAGGTCAAAAACTGATTTTTTTTTCGCAACGATACCGGAGACATTGGCCAAGCTAACCTCGAGTCTTGAGTGTTTTAAGAGTTGTATAAGTCAATGCACGCCAATCTGATCGCGTAAAACCATTAGGACCGAGTTGGTTCATGATAGAATCTTGTTCCATTGATTCTTAAGGAGATGAAAGTTTTGAAATCGTTGATTTCTGGGGTGTCAAAGTCTGTTCCGTATTACATTCGATCGATGTGTCTGTGAATAGAAGTCAAAATACCGATCCTCGAAATAGAACAACTTCGAATCAAAAGCACACGTAATGTATTCGAATTGTATGCTCTGCGTATTCGATGCATTTAAAGCGTACAATAATTATATCGAGCTCATTCTCATATATCACACTCGCCGCACCTTGAATTCATCACAGGCTTTCTGTAATCCATTACCCGCTTCGCACTCAATCGTTCTGGCCTTCGCACAGATCGCTCATTCACAGATAATTCTTCCGTAGCACTTTTTGTTCGACACTCTGTTCATCAGTCGTATCGAGTTGCTCAGTATCTAAAGAAGTGTTATTAGACTTAGAATTTTCATCATGAAATGAAACAGACTGACTTGGATTGTCAAAACAAATTTGATTCACATGCCTTCTGCAATTAAAGCATTCTCCGTTCTAAAGACTTTAGGACAGTACCTAAAGAAGGTCTCAGAAGAGGGCCGCGGAAAACTACAACTTCAGAAGAATAACAAACACACAATAAATTGGATCTCAAATTTTGACCTTTGGAAAGTTTAACAGGTTTCTTTAGTGGAGGAATCAACAGAATAACGATATTGTAAAAGAAACAGGTCAACACCTCTCTCAAGTTCAGAAAACGTGGATGGATTCAAAGAAGTAATGGCATTCTCAAGTGTTCTAAAAAAATTATCTGCTTTACCATTAGAGTAGGGGTGTCTGGGAGCAGGAAACAAATGTTTGCATCCAGTGTTATTCAGCCATTCTGAAAAACTCTTCGTGGAAAAGTGATTGCCCTTATCAGCAACAAGTACAACAGGCTGAAAACTTTACGCAAAGCATGAATGGTAAAATCTGATGAAGGTGACTTAGTGAAAAATACCTCTAGTCACTTAGAGAAGTTAATGACGACAAGAGCACAAATTCCATTGAGAAATGGACTACAATAATCAGCATGAACAGCTTGCCACGCCTCTGTTGAAACAGGCCACGGAACCCACTTGGATAGCAACTGTCGAGCTTTGTGAATCAGAAATGTCATCTGAGTCACAAGCGAGTAGCGATTGACGCAAAATATAATCCGTGTATCGAATGTTTGGTGCTGCGATGTTCAACCAAGTACTGAGTGAGATGCTCCAAAGCTTAACCATAGCTGTAGAGCGTTTAGAAAGGGATTTCCCAGGGTCGAAAATAAATTTCAAGGCCTCATGATCGGTAATGATGGTGAAACGATGACCGAAAATGAAATTGCGGAGGCTTTTGACTGCCCAATATACAGCTAAAGTTGAGTGATGAGTTTGAGCATAACATCGTTCAGTTGCTGTTAACCATCCAGACACACAAGTAATTGGTTGTCCATTTTGTTCAAGAATATCACCAATGACATCGGAAATGCATCATTATTACAGACAGTGGAGTGAGTTTTGGGATTGAATGGATGAAGTAGAGCATGGAACTGCAGAAAATTCAGCAATTCACCTAAGCGACGTTCATGAAATTCGGTCCAAACAAATCTGTCAGAAAATGAGAACAGAAATAGTGGTGAAGCTTTCTGATTGAAATTAGAGATAAATCTGGAATAGTAATGTCGGACTCGAATCAAGGATCTTAGTTCATGTATGTTAGACGGTGATTTGGCTTTTGGCTGAGGAAGCAGGCGGTTTGGGTCAGGTTTGTAACCTTTACCATCAACCAGATATCCACGGCATTCGAAATGGAATACGAAAAATAAACACTTCTTAGAATTGACGGCAATATTTTCATCAGAAAACCTACGCAAGAGTTCAAGCGATTATACGTCATGAGTAAACTTGTCAGGAGCATGAACAATAATGTTATCTTCATATAATTCAACACCAGACATAACACTAGTACCGTCATTCATAACGTGCTGGAACATGACAGGAGAAATGGATAAACCTAACGGCAGAAATTTGTGTACAAACCAAATGGGATATTATTGATTGTCAAAGTGAAGGAGGTTTCGCCTAACGGGATTTATAGATAAGTATCTTTCAAGTCGATCT